AAAATTCATTTTTCGCACTTGTTAGGTAAATATATTCTGTACTACCAACAAATAACGAAACCGAACTCTGATAGCGAATTCCATTGGAATAAAGGTTAGTGCGCACCGAGTGTATTCGTATCTTATTCTACCAGCTTATATAAGAAAGAGATAAAAATACACTCTTTCGCACTGATTTTACCAATGGAATTCGCTATGAGAATCGCCTAAAACTTTTCAATTATAGGCATAGCGAATTCTATTGGTAGGATTAATACAAAAAATTTATTTATCTCTTTCTTATGCAAGCTAGTAGAGAAAGATATGAATACACTCAGTGTGCACTATCCCTTTGAATAGAATTCGCTATAAATGGCATGCGGGCAGTGCGGACACTGTGCAAACTAGAAAACAAGTTAGGGCCGGTTGCTGAAAAGTAAAAATATAAAAAATAGATTTATTTGTAAGGTGTAGGGTACATTTGTTCGTCCATCGTAACGATCTTGGGGAGGGGGGTAATTACCCCCATTACCCCCCCTTGTATACGCCGGTGAGTTTGACCATGACATACTTTGTAATTTACAAGGTAGATTTGCGCCCCAGGGCGTCGAAGCTGGGGTTTCAAAGCTCTGAAAAGAAAGCATCTAATTAATATGGAGTTGGAGTGTCATGCTTTCTTCTTTAGATATTTTTTCGGTGTATTAGTTATATTTTTGTTTGATTTGCTGTTTAGTAGTTTATAAAGATATTTATTTACGTTCATACCTACTATGTATATTCGGCGGCATTGTTTTAACATCCTACAACGGCACAATACGAGGGTATTTTCATCCTAGTCTACACAATTACACATACTATCCTAGGAAATGAATTATATTTCAATTTAGAAACAATTATTCACAGGATTAAGCCTAGTACTCATAACTGCGAAATACGCACTCTTTTGACATTGCTTCGACAATTTGACGTTTGATTCACGCAAAAAACGTCTAATTTTCGACGCAATGTCAAAAAAGATCGAATTTCGCAGTTATGAGTACTAGGCTTTAGGAGGGCTAGACCACTGATCTCAAAAATAAATGGATAAACAAAGAACGCTTCTAATGCTGCTAATTTACGAGGTCAAAATCTAAACAAAAACAACTGACTGGGACAGCTGTGAGCGTGCGCAGTAGATACATGTATTGTGCGTGCACAAAATCTGGCCAATGAAAATGAAGGAATTTCAAAATTTAGAACAATTGTTCGAAAGATAAGACACTGCGCAGGCGTTAGGCTGTTCCGTTGCACAACTGTTCGTAGAATATTGACCCCAAATTTTCGCACAAATTTTGCCAATCAAGCCGTATGAATTGTTTATCCATTTATTTTTTAGATCAGTGTGCTAGACGGCGAAATTTTAATTAAAAATGGCGTGGCGGCCAGCAAATTAGTTTTGAATATGCAGCTTTGATTTTGATTATTTAATAAAATAATTGTTCACTGCTTTGAATATAAAACTACAGGAAGGAGCGTTTTCTATCTGTCACTACAGACAACGCAGGGACGGAAACGGCCATATTGAGCCTCCAAGTTTGGACTCATCATTTGTTTTGGTGGTTCCCTGTGTCCTCATTCAAGTGGATGTTTAATGGATTTTAGCGGTTTTAAGTGATGATAAGTACTGGAATTAGTGAGAAAAGAGTGAGTCATAATATTGACAATCATATTTAAATAAATATACGCCACTGCCAAACCGGAAATTAATACTAGTCGGCCATATGCAACCTCCACATATTTTGGTCGCGCAGATTCGAAGTTATGCTCCTTCCTGTAGTTTTATATTCAAAGGTTCACTGATATTTTTTTGTGTTTTTTGGTCCATGTGTGGCCGCCACGCCATCTTGAATGTCACGTAAATTTGGATTGCTGATTAGGCAATCCAACGACCTGTCCAAATGGCGCCTGGTTGCAGGGCCGTAGCCAGGGGGGGGCATTGGGGGGCAATGCCCTATCTTTTAAATGATGATGCCATACCTTTAAAAATCAACATACATTAAGGTTTCTTTAGAAAATTTAAGAGTAGATGATACCTGAAGTAGATAGGCCTGAAATCGAGTAGCGAGGATGAATGTTTCCGAAAATGCCTAAATCTAATGAACAATGGTTGACGTTTGCACAGAGAAATCTAATGAACAATGGTTGACGTTTGCACAGAGGAAGTTTTTTTTTGTTTTGAAAGAGTGCGAATGGCCCAGGCGACCGGCGCGAAAATCCGTGCCATTTTGTTTACTTGCCAGAGATATTATTTATTGCAAGGTTGTTTGATGGAGGCGAGAGAGGTAGGATGCCAAGGCTGGGACTCTAGTATATATTTATAGAGATATTTTCTCTATCTCTATCGACGTCCCCTCTCTATTGATTTCGACAAGACAGAAGAAGAAGAAGACAGCACGTGCCATAGCGATAGGGATAATGATCTCTATGCGTACAGAGTTCCAGCCCTGGTAACTTTATGACGTCATCTGAGATGCCTCAACATAATGCAAATCTCTTTAAGGTGTCCCAGATCGGATGCGTTATCAAGTTACCCATTACCATACTTTACCATACATTATGCATACCTTGATGCGTCATCAAGTTACCCATTACCATACAACCTGAACCTTGATTTATTGAAAAATATTGTTTACCTATAAAAAATTTAGGGGGGGGGGGGCAAGTAGTGTATGCCCTGTGTCGAATTTGTCATGCCCTATCTTAAATTTGACTCTAGCTACGGCCCTGCCTGGTTGGCAAACAATAAACAAAAAACCAATGAACTAAACAAACACACTGGAACGGTGGCTGCATAATGTTCCCTACACAAAGGTTTGTGCCAGGAAGGACAACAAACAAGTGGGATTTGCATCTCTCTCTGCACTATGGCGGTTAATCGCAATAAGTGCGAGCAAGACAACAATCCCTCTGTATTGCTGGGTTGCATATATCAAAATTCGGCACACTAGCATAAAGCAGTGCGCCCGTTCCAGAGTGTTTGTTTAGTTCAATGCAAAAACCTTGTTTTTTTTGGCGGGATTATCAATACAGGTGGGGGATTCTCATCCTCTACTCGCAACCTATCGTCCCGACTATCCCATTGCCTTTCTACGGGTGAGTCGGGACGATAGGTTGCGACTAGAGGATGAGAATCCCCCCCCAGGGTCCAGATTCTTGAAACAGGGCAGCGTTCCCAGGAGAACGAGTGTTTTGTCTTTCTCAATGATATGCAACTGATAATATAAGTAACAGAGACGGAATGCTTGTTCTTCTGGGAACGCTCCTCCCCTGTTTCAAGAATAAGCACCTAGGGGGCGAGTTCTCAAATTTGACATTTTTCTGACATCGTTGACATGTAACAACTCGTATGACAGTACGGATTAAGGCCGGGACACATCACTGATCTCAAAAATAAATGGATAAACAAAGAACGCTTCTAATGCTGCTAATTTACGAGGTAAAAATCTAAACAAAAACAACTGACTGGGACAGCTGTGAGCGTGCGCAGTAGATACATGTATTGTGCGTGCACAAAATCTGGCCAATGAAAATGAAGGAATTTCAAAATTTAGAACAATTGTTCGAAAGATAAGACACTGCGCAGGCGTTAGGCTGTTCCGTTGCACAACTGTTCGTAGAATATTGACCCCAAATTTTCGCACAAATTTTGCCAATCAAGCCGTATGAATTGTTTATCCATTTATTTTTTAGATCAGTGGGACACATCTATCATGCATTCTTCCGATCCGACTCCGATCATATAATCAGGGTCCTTATTCTTGGAACAGGGGAGCAGCGTTCCCGGGAGAACGAGTGTTCCGTTTTCGTTACCAATGAACTATAACAAAAAACTGGAATGAGAACACATATTGACGAACGTGAAGCCTAGTGCCGCTGCTGCGGAGGGGATACCTGTTTCTGTCGCACTCATTATGTTAAGCCTAGTTCTCATGATGCGGAATTCCGGATTGCGGGTGCGGAATTTTTGAAATAATTCCGTTGGCGGGAAAACGTCAACTTTTTTGCGGATCCGCAATAAAGTTGAACCATTTTCAACTTTCTTGCGATTTTTTTTTCTGTCTTTGTCTAAACATTTCTCATCTTTGTTTGATTTCTACATAAACAAATAAACTAACCTCAAACAAAAAACAATAAAACAATTAATACCTAACAAAAATAAATTGATCTGCTTGCTTGTGTGCTTGTTTTATTTTCAAATACATAATTACGGCAAACCCCTTTTTCATGCCTTTTCAGAAGAATATTTCTGAACATCTTCCTTTTTTAAATATTCCTCTGCTATTCTGCTTCTTTGATGAAGTTTCATGCATACCTATTATGGATTAATAGCAAACCCAATACTAACGTATATTGGGTGGTAGTCTGAATAAAAACGAAGTACTTGCTACTACTACAGGTAGTAGTATATTCTACGAAGTATTTACTTCACAACAAAGGATTTACTAATTTCCGGTAGTTTCGAAATGTAGAATCTACTTCATTTTGAAGTAAACACTACGAAGAATATACTACTACTTGTCGTAGTAGCAGATACTTTGTTTTTTTTCATACCTCCCTCTGTCTTTTCCATTGATAATAATTTAATTGTGCAATATAATTATCCATCCAGGCACACAGGAAAACAAAAACAAAAAATATGTTAGGTTAAGATCACATGTATTTGACATAAAACCGCATCCGGAATTCCGTTTCATGTGAACCATCAAAAATTACGATTTTCAAAAAACTGCGATTTCCGGACCCGCAATGCGGAATCCCGCACCATGAGAACTAGGCTTTAAATGGCGGAAATTGCTTCCAGCACGTATTCCAATTGATGAAACCTGTGAAGGTAAATATGACAAAACTTTCCAAAACGTCATATGTCAGCGAGCAACAGAAAAAAAACAACATTCCCCTTTGTGGCATCTGTCTTTCATGGCTAAATTTTTTTGGCAGATATGGCAATGTGTGCGCATTCCAGTTTTTGACTATAGTTCATTGTTCGTTACTGATAGACACTTTAAGCAAACCCTAAATTTTTCTACGTATCCATATCCGCATCCGTAAACGCATCAAATTACGGTGACCGCAAAGTCCTTTTAAGCATGGCCATACATTAACATTACGTAAACGATCCTATTCTTGGATGAAACGTTTTCTAACCTCAAAAAGTGTTGTATTGATTTTGTAGCTGTGTTTGTAGGTTTTCTTTTTATCTTTAAGGGCGGGTATTATAAAACTAGTTTGAGAGTTAACTTAAAGTTAACTCCTGGAATAACATGTAATTTAAAAAGTTAACTTCAAGTTAACTATCAAAGCAGTTTTATATTATATATTGAATTACATGTAATTTCAGAAGTTAACTTAAAGTTAACTCTCAAAGTAGTTTTATAATACCCGCCCTAAGTACTATGTTTATGTTGTTAAAGTTATTTCAGTGATAACTGACAGGAAGATCTCCCAATAGTTTCAAATGATTGAGATACGTTTTCGAATACGGATACGATCGATACAAACAACGGAACGCAACGAAACCACCGTATATATTCTGCGCATTCGCAGATCGATACGGATACGGATGCGTTTGAAATTTAGGACCTGCTTAAAGTTTCTATATCAGTTGCATATAATTGAGAAAGACGGAACACTGAACACTCGTTCTCCTGGGAACGCTGCTCCCTGTTCCAAGAATAAGGACCCTGATTGTATGATCGGAGTCGGATCGGAAGAATGCATGAAAGATGTCTCCCGGGCTTGATAGATGTGTCCCCGCCTTTACGGAGAGAAAAATTTTGCCATTCGATAGTCATAATTATTCATAATGGATATTTTTTGTATCGTATCGTATCTTATCATTCTTATCTCGTGTTTTGTTTTGTGTTTGGTTTAAGAAATTAAGAATTCTCTCTCGGATAATTGATGAATAATCAAAATAATAATGTCTAGCAAAAAGGAATTACTCCCAGAAATAACTGAAATACAAGTGGAAATCAAAGAAGAAAATAAAGGAAACGATTATTCAACAGCCAAAGGTAGATTGAAAGGCGCACTGAAGCAATTAACTCAGAAGTCGTCTGAAGAGGACAGCGAGTCTTCTGATGGCGAAGCAGACTATAGAAAACATAGAAGGTATTTTATTTTCAAGCCCCCAAACTTCCTAGAACCACCAGTCTCATCCAGGGACAAAGAGCAAGCTCAAAAAGACGCCTTGATAATAATTATTTTATATTTCAGTGGCAGAAAGAAGAGAAACCAGAAGGTACCAACACCTTACCATCACACCTACCTCATGAAACTTTATGACAGAAGTGTGGATTTGGCAAAGTTTGAAGAGGACACCCCTTTATATCCACTGTGCAGAGCCTGGATGAAAAACCAACCTAAGAATCAACAGAAAATTATCAAGTATTAGTATTAATAACAATCAAAACAACAGTAGTTTTACTATAATTGAATATTTGTAGAAGACGAGCCTCAACACCAGAACCTCAAGCCCCTGAACTAAATATTAGTGAGGACACTGCAGTGAATGTGGAAAGGCTTCCACCACCCTCTACACCATTTGTAACTAGGATTCCTTCGCCTTTACCAGAGCAGCTGCTTCAACACAAGGATAATTTAAACCTAGATTATGTAAGAAAGAGAAGAATAAATCTCTGTTGTATATTTACTTAAAGTTTGGCTCCTCTATTTTATTGCTATTTTGAGTCAGGAAAAGACCCCTGTGAATTCACTGAAAATGTATATACGTATGGTAATGGTACTAGGTATTTAACTTTTGTTGAAGCGATTGGTGGAATTCTTTTATCTAAAATTCCTAGAATAGTCATTCAACTAATATAAGAATAGATTTTCTACTCTAATGTCTATAATTTCAGGATGAATGTGCTCCAGTGGACAAAAATGTATTGATTAGGAATCACTTGCAAAGATGGGCTAAAGTTAAGAAGAAATGGATTGAAACTGAAAATAAAAATTCTGAAAGATTCCAAAGGAGTTCTGAAATTTTGCAGGAGGTTTACAATAAGTAAGTTTGACTTTGGTGGTTGAACTGTTGTATATAGGAATACTATTTTTTATTTTATTTCAGGTCTCCCTATAATATTAAAAATGGATTAATTGCATAAAAACAATTTACTTCATTATTTTTAAGTTGCAATCGATTTTTGTTTTGGGAACTCCAAACATTATTATTTGGTTTATAATAATAATTATTTTTTCAATTATTTAGGTACTTATAATATGTGGACAAAAAAAATAAAATTTATCTAATCCTAGAAAGAATGAGAAAGTTCATTTATTCAACAACATTTGGCAACAAGGTTGTAATGTAGACCCAATCAGGTAGGTATCGGAATTTAGATATTGTATAATAATTCATCATTATCGTTTGCATCTTTAAAATTAGTTACCAATTGTATCAAAATATCAACTAAGATTTTTTTCAAACTTTACAAAAAAAGAGAACATCGGAGAAAACGAAGTAGGCCATGAACGGAAACTACTCTTGCTTGAAAATTACACAAAATATTTTCCTTTGTCATCATCTACCTATTAAAATCAATTAATTGGACTGATTTTAATAGGTAGATGGTATGGTAAATTTAGCCCAAAATGCACCTTTTGTAGTTTTTTGTAGTAGAGATTGCGGCGGGTAGTCGGTCCCATTTTCAAAAATTACAATATTATTAAAAAAGAAATCTATAATGCAAATTAAAAATTAATGCGAGGGTTCCTAGCAACTTTGTTATATCTGTCGAAAAATGGCCAGCCACATATTTCATATGTCACGTTATAACTTTAAGGCTGCTGGAACTTAATTATTTTTTACACATGTTTATAAAATGAATGGAGCCAATGTAATTTTTACACAGACATTTATGTATTGAGAAAGCTACAGAGTAAGTGCAGAATCTTTGCTAGATTTCCAGTTACAGACTTTTTTTTATCAATTATTCAACATGTTGCTACTAAGGCCATATGCAAAATGTTCAATTGGCCTCACATCACAGTATTTTTTTAAAAGAATGTGTCATATTTTTACCTAAGTGATGTGTTTTAGAACGCCTGCAAATCTAACCAAGCAAGAGAAGCTGCGATTCATTTGTCCTAGTTGTATGTAGACCTATTTGGATCACCATCCCAGGACTTGAAAATATTGTTTTTTTAGAATGCAGCAAACGTTCAAGTTCTATTTTGTGTACTATTTCTCAAAAAATAATATTTTTGGAAATAATCGTATTTATTTCAAACATTTTTGAAAAGGCGCTTACCATAAGACCAATGGTAAGCGTCTTTGTTTTATGCAAAAACCACCACTTATATAAAAAAATTAAATTGGTGTTGATATTCAAGTAATAGAAGCGAAACACTTCACATATAAGCTCGTGATTTTGGTTGGGTTTGGTGGAATGTAAGGAAAAAAATAAAACTTCTTAATATGGCCTTATTTGGAACCTTATTTTATATGTGTGTAACAAGCCAGGAAAATGGAGCATTCGTAAAAAATAAATTAAGGTCAATACAATTCGTCGTTAATTTCACTAATGGGCGTATATGGAATTTCTTAAATTTTACAAGCGTATATGATATACGCCTTTTAGGAAGATGCATATTTATTGTTTCAAAACATACTACTTAAAGAAAAATTAGTGGAATAAAATCACTGCTCTAACTCGCTGTTTTCTGGGGGTGGGTGATTCCGAGGTATAACCAGATGAAACCTATATCATCTTGTAGAGGACAATTTGGGGCATAGGAAATGGGAATGTACAACTTTTTTTAATAGGACTGAACTTTGAAATCGGCCCTTAAACGTGACTGAGCTCGAATTTGAAAAAATATGTTTTTCTAAACATTACCCGCTGCATTAATTTAAGCATACAATCTAAAATTCTGATTTTTTGCACACTTATACTTGAAACATGAGCGCTTCTAATGACAGTACAGAAATTTCGAAAAGGCTCAAGGTTTTTTTGTTAAAAAGTTAGGAATATAGAATTATCAAAATCGTGCATCTTAAACTTCACCCTGCGGCGAGCAATGTGTATTATTGAAAATTTCTATACATATATATCGAATCAAATGTAGTAAAAACATTGACGAAGTTTAAAAAAAAAAAATTAAGGTGCTAACTTTAACGGTTATAGAAATATAAATTTTTATCCAAGAGCCCTGGACTGCGCTCAGCCCATCGTGAACCGCGTCGCGACGGAATTATTCGTGCATTCACCGAGAGGTGCATTTTCTGACTTTTCCAGTTTTGTGCGTTCGTATGCGAAAAACAGCTAAGTCTGATTTATTATTAAAGTTTGAACCATATTCAACAGTAGCTTCTCTTCGAACTGATGTTAAATAAGGGTGTGACTAAAAAAAGCAACTTCAGCTACTTAAATCAAGAAAAAAAATCTAAGATCTCCCGTGGAAGCCGCAGTCCTTCATTCAACATACTATCCGAGAAAATTCTTCATGAAAATAAATTTTGCGGGAACTTGTGACGTCACACCGGCTAACCGCCGAAATCATAGCCTTCTGTTTGTTTAGTGGTTGAACCGTGCCCTATACTTTAAGCGGTTGCAATTTGCTTCAAGTGAGATCGTTGACTTTTGTCTTGGAAAATTTTACACATATTTTAACTGTGCCTCCGAAGCCAGTGTGACGTCACAGCCTAGGCGTTTGTCACTTTGAACCACCCTTATATTCGAAAATGGTATGATGCGGTTTAAAGATTTGTTCTTAGATTTTTTCGCACTAAAACTTCATTTTTGGGTCACACGCCCTTCAATTCACTTATAATAGATGGCATGGTACTTATTCAAGGACTAAATGATAAAGCATTTTCAACTTAACTTTTAATGAATTGCTCGCATGTATTTTTCTGAAGCAAATTCTTTCACTTGGTCGAAGGTATGAAGCACTGAGGATAACGGTGGTTTTTAATAGATGAATCGGTCAAGTCTTTGGACAGACGCAGAAGAAGTAACTTCGCAGATACGTATGCGTATATGAAGTTTCTGGAAAGAGAAAAGTGATGAAGTTTCGGAATTTTTTAAAATTGTTAGAAAATGAAGAATCCCTATTGAAATTTGTAACTGGTTATATTTTGGAACATTTAGCTGACAAATAGAAAAAACTCTGATCATCGCTGGTGATTTTGAAAATCCAGAGTTATGCTTTTCTATCAACAAGGATGGTGTAACCGTGTAACCGAATTGGAAGATTTGAAATCGAATCATGATGATACTGATGCACGACTTATTATAATCCACGTCTTATATGAATATCAGATACTTCACCAAAAAAAATTGTTGGTGAAGTCTGCAGATGCAAATGTTCTGGTATTACTTATTTACCACTATTCTGAATTTATTGAAGTAAGTTCTTTGAAAGAAACCTACCTTTTTATGGAATTAGGACAAGGGAATAAAAAACGGATCATTCCAATAAATAGTGCAGAAACTGGAATATGAAGTTTATAAATGTTTACCAGCGCTGCATGTGTCAACAGGATGCGATACCACAAATGCAAAGGCAAAAAATGTATTTTCTAAAAATCTTGGAACCTTATATTGCCACCAAATTTGCATTGGCCCTATTCAGAAATAAGAACGAGGCCCTAAAAACCCTCGATGAATTGAGATATCAATTGATCACAACTTCCAATAAATCCGCTTCTGAACTTCTACCCACAAATGATGCATTTTACCAGCATGTACTGAGCTAGGTGTATATATAACAAAAGAAGCTGTATTTATGCGATAAACAAAATTTTAGGTGCATATATTACCTGCGTATATGGATATCCAGTCATATACCTATTATGCCTATACTTGACCCTGTTAACTTTGTTTGGACTAGGAATAATGGAATTTTTGAGCCTGTTTTGATGACTGCTGATCCCATACCAATGGATATAAGGCAACTAATGAATGTCTTCTGCGAAGATAAATTATGTCAAAATAATAAATGTGTCTGCTTGAAAGAGGGTTTAACATGCTGCAGCGATTGTTCCTGCAAAAGTTGTCAAAATAATATTCCTGATTTATATGAGGATGACGAAGGAGAAAATATTTAAACTAACTTCATAAAAAAGGATTCAATCAATTACTTTATGTTTATAGATTTTTTTATTTTATTTCTAGATGTAACGCTAACGCACTAACGCAGATGATTTCCAGAATGGTAGCCGCTAGCCGCTTTCAGCATCAGAGCGCATTTCAAAGCTCCCGGATAAAAATTCATATTTCTATAACCGTTAAAGTTAGCGACTTAATTTTTTTTTCAAAAACTTCGTCAATGTTTTTACTACATTTGATTCGATATATATGTATAGAAATTTTCAATAATTCACGTTGCTCGCCGCAGGGTGAAGTTTTAGATGTACGATTTTGATAATTCTATATTCCTAACTTTTTAACAAAAAAACCTTAAACCTTTTCGAAATTTCTGAACTGTCATTAGAAGCGCTCATGTTTCAAGTATAAGTGTGCAAAAAATCAGAATTTTAGATTGTATGCTTAAATTAATACAGCGGGTAATGTTTAGAAAAACGTAGTTTTTCAAATTCGAGCTCAGTCACGTTTAAGGGCCGATTTCAAAGTTCAGTCCTACTAAAAAAACTTGTATGATATAGGGTGAATGTGCCTGTTTACGACCAGCTAACAGAAAATTTGATTTTGAGATGTGATAAATGATGGAAAATTAGGTCAAATTTCAACTGAAATATATTTTTTAAAATTTTTGACGTCTTAAGATAGGTTTACAATTGCAGTTTTTGGGATTTTATTTCAAATTAGTAAATAAATTGAAAAAATTTTGAAAAAGTGCATTTTATTAACTTAATGAATCAGGGTACTCCTGATACTATAATTGAAAACATAAATTCAGTTTTAATTGGGAACTTTGACAAACATGCTCCCATTAAATCTGTTAAAATTCAACGTAAATATAAGCCCTATATAACAGAAACCATAAAACAAATAATTAAACTCAAAAAGAATGCTTTCAAGAAATATCTTAGAACCAAAAACATAGTGCATAAGAATTTTTATGTAGATTTAAAAAATTACTTAAATTTTGCTATAAAGAACGAAAAAAAGGCGTATATGACGTTTGAACTGAATAAATTAAATAGGGATTCTAAACGTATGTGGTCAAAACTCAATGATTGGAATGTTCATTGTAAACCTGTATATGAAATACCCACACACTTGAAAAATGTAGACTCGATTAGTGCCCATTTTGCAAGTGTATTTCGAATGGATGTGCAGGTAGATCAGGAAGTTGTCGAGTTCTTTAATAATGCCAACTTTATGGGAATTGACGAATTGGAACAATTCTCTTTTGAAGAAATTTCCCAATTCGAAGTATACAATGCTTTTAGGAGAATTAAATCCAAAGCATTCGGAATAGATAATATAACATATGACATGTTACTTTTCAGCTTAGATTATGTTGCACCGACAATTACCAACTTCTTTAATTCATGTCTACTCTCTGGAGAGTTTCCTAAAGTTTGGAAAAAGTCAATAATTACTCCTCTTCCCAAAAATGCTAAAATTGGTACTCTTGATGAACTGAGACCAATAAGTAAACTACCAATCCTCTCAAAGATGTTTGAAATTATTATGTCTGATAGAATGAATAGTTATATTGCAAACAAAAATATTCTGCCTCCAACCCAGTCGGGTTTTAGGGCTCAACATGGAACTGCGACCGCTCTCAGTAGGATATGCACTGATATTTCGTGTTCCATGGATCAATCATATGTTAACTGCCTGGTATTGTTAGATTATAGTAAAGCTTTTGATTTGGGGCCACATGATCTGCTGATAGCTAAGTTAAGATACTATGGGTTTTCTGAGGCGGCCTGTAAATGGTTCAGGGGCTACCTCGGGGAGAGACAACAGGTTGTGGGGTTGGATGGGGCGAGATCTGGCCTTGTTTCTGTGACAAAAGGCATTCCACAGGGCAGCATACTTGCCCCACTCTTGTTTAACATTTTCACTGCTGACTTGCAATGACAGGTCAGTTTTTGCGGCATCCACTTCTACGCAGACGACACACAATTGTTGTCAGGTTTTCCTCCAGAGGTTGCCAGTTGGGCAATGGAAAGGATAAATCAGGATTTGAATAGTGTTTGGAAGTGGTCGTTGAATAATGGGTTGCTGTTAAATGTTAAAAAATGTCTTTATTTAATTATAGGAACAAAAACGGCTAGGAATCACTTTTTTACTTACAACTTTACAACATTACACTTCAATAGTGTTGAAATTCCGCTTGAGGATTGTGCAAGAAACCTGGGAGTTTATTTTGATAGTAATTTAAATTTTGAATTACATGTGGAAAAAAAATAACATCTATTATGATTAAACTTAAACAACTGTATAGTTTCAAGTATATTCTGCAAAGTGAAACCAAAGCGAAATTAATAGATTCTCTATTGCTATCTCAAATAGACTGTAATGTGGTTTATTATTATTACCTGACAAATGAATATAAAACCAAAATTCAAAAAACTCAAAACTCGTGTTTGCGATTTACTTACTGTATCAACAAATATGACCACATAACTCCAATATATATAAATAATAAGATTTTGAAATACAACCTCCGGGTCGAGTTGCACTTTGCCTTATTTGTTCAAAAAAATCTTCAAAAGTGGGCTCCCAAGGTACCTACCTTTAAAGTTACTTTGTCTCCGTTTGGATTTGCATGGTCTAGATTTAAGAAATATTGTTAGATTTGCTATTCCACAGCACAGAACATCTAAATTTGAAAATTGTTTCTCCTATAGAGCAATAAGCCTA